TTTTATTGACATGCAAACTCACCGAAACTGAAATCACGACGCTTAGTTACTAAGCATTATAAATAATATATAACGCTGATGAGTACACTAACACATGGATTCTCATCCTTGTCTCTAGTTAAATAGCTACGTAATAATTCAGTAAAATCTTTATTGACATTTATCACTAAGCTATCTAACTTTTAAAACTCAATAAAATCAATCTTACATTATGAAAATGTGAAAGTGTTTATTATCTACATTAAATAATTTCTAATCCCTTAATTCCCACATTAATCTTTGCAATACAGTAAAGAAAGGTGGGAAGAAAAGAAATAAAGCATTAGAATATTATCAGGCAGATAGCATATCCTTTACTTAGCTCACACAAAAATATTTACTCAATATCTAATATGCAACAAGCACTATGCCAGAAGTGAGGGATATAAAGTAAGACAACACAGTCCTTGTTTTCAAGATAATTACAGTCTCATAAAGAAGATAAACCCTGATCAAATACTATGACTGAGTATATAAAAACAAGCTGATATAGATGCCCTATGAAAAGACCATGCCTCTATGAGAGTACATACTAAAGGAACCTGACCCAGAGTAATGGGTTAGGGAAGATTTCACAGCCAATAGGGACATTCAAACTGAGATCTGAAGGATGACAAAAATTAAGCAGGTGACAGGAGTATTAAGGAAAATCCCAGATAAAGGCCCAGTGGTGGAAGAGAGCACAGTATATTCAAGAAACAGAAAGGAGAACAGTGTGGCTACATGAAGAAACTAAGAAAAAGAGTGGTACAGTATGAAGCCAAAGATGAAAAAGAGGAACCAGACCACAAAGGGGTTTAGGCCATGGTAAAAATTTCAGACTTTATCCTAGTCTTTACTTTTCACTTCTAAATTGAAAAATGTCTGTTTCTAATACAAGTTCTAATTATGCAACATTTTTACGGGTAATGGAAACTTCATGAGTAACTGTTGAAAGAATAAGCCAGAGTGGTGTTTGTTCCAAAAAAAAATCAAGCCTGCTGCAATCAAGTCGATCTCCACTCATGATGACTGCATGTGTTACAGAGTAGAATTGCTCCATGGGGTGTTCTTGGCTGTAATCTTTACAGAAGCAGATTGCCAGGTCCTTCTTCCGCAGCACTGCTGGTTGGGTTTGAACCACCAATCTTTAGGTTAGTAGTCGAGTGTTTAACTGTTTGAACCACCTACAGGCCTTAAAATTTTAATGGATAATGTCAAAATTAAGTTACTCTGAATATGGTAGCATAAAAATGAAATCAATACTGATAGATTAAATGAGAAACATCCCTTTCCAACATTTATATTCCTACTGAATTCCATGCTATTTTTAATATCATTTTCATAACTGTGCAGTGATTATAAATTGCATGTTTTAAAAAAAATTATTATTACAAATTTACTAGAGATAAAAGTGTTGGATTAGGTAAAGGAATTGAAAGATGCTTAAGACATAGTTTCTTTGATGATATCTAAATATCATTATTCAACTTGGGACGTAAGTAAAATGTAACAAAATTCAGTACCTACATTGATATTAGCTAGACCTCAAAGTGAACAGACTAAGAGATCAGAAGTCTGGATGTAACTTTTATTTCTTTGGTCAGCCATCACTTCATGTGGAAATAATTTATGAGTAGAAATTAGTTCTAACGAAAATGGGAGCAAAATAAGCCTGAACTTTTAAGCTAACCATGCTAATATTTTTAATACAAAAGAAACAAGAGATGACACACAAGCCTGTAATCAACCCATCTCAAAATATTTCTATAAACTTCAAAACATGGAGAGAGATTCAGACTTACAAAGACTTCACAGTTCACAACACATTTTACAGATGTGTTTTTCACATGACCTTCAAATCAGATTTGAAAGTAAACATACATATAAGATATACAAAATGAATTTTCTTTCTAAATTACCAGTTTAAAAAATATTTTGTCATACCTCAGTGAAATAATTTTATAGTTTTCACCTAGAACACCAAAAACCCATTGCTGTTGAGTCAATTCCAACTCACAGAGACCTTACAGGACAGAACAGAACTGCCCCATAGTGTTTGCAGGACTGTAAATCTTAACAGAAGCAGACTGACGCATCTTTCTCCTGTGGGGCGGCTGGTGGATTTGAACTGCCAACCTTTAGGTTAACAGCCTCCCCTCCATTAAAGCCCATGGCCGTTGAGTCGATTCAGACTTATAGTGACCCTATCGGACAGACTAGAACTGCCCCATAGGGTTTCCAAGGCCGTAATCTTTACAGAAGCAGACTGCCACATCTTTCTCCCGCGGAACGGCTGGTGGGTTTGAACAGCTGACTTCTTGGTTAGCAGCCAAGCGCTTAACCACTGCACCACCAGGGTTCCTTCAGCCTCCCCTACTACACTGTAATCCATGCTAAAGTTCTATTACAACATCACCCAGAGAAGCAATGTTGTTACTTTCTTTGGGTAAAGCAAAGCATTGACAAAAACTCTGCCATGCTTATGCTAATTTTCTCTGACTACTTGATATCAAGGAAAATAGCAACAGCAGTAAGTCTAGATTGCCTTTGAGTCATTACTTTTAAGGTTTATGTAGAACAGCAATGTATCTTTAGCAAAGGAGAAGAACAGAGAATACCATATTTTTACACAAATAACGCGCACCTTCTACATTTGTTTGCCAACCGCACCCCCCACAACGAGGTATTTTCATAAGCACTGCAATACCAGTTTTTTTTTTACATGTTGCTCTGAAAAAATTTAGTATAGTACACTTACAAAGATACCTTGTTGGGGAGGGTGCAGCTGGCAAACAAACATAGAAAGTGCACGTTATTTGCGTAAAAATACAGTATTGCACGAGCCCAACAAATACTGTTCATTTCCTACAAATTAAAAACTAATTGACGAGGGATCATAAATAGACTTCTTTTAAAATTCGGTTTTAAATCCTGTATTTAAAAAACTAAACTACTATAAATATCAGTACTATCAGTACTTACATACATACACATTTATAAGCAGTGGCTTAAGCATTTCAAAATTAAATAATAAAAATATAACTAGATTTATTACTGCCCTTTATCATCTTTTGTAAACCTATATTTTTAAAGAATCTTGGAAACTATTAAAATTACTAACATCTTTTGACCAATGTTACCTATCCAGTGCTCAATTACACTGAAGAAAGCACACGTGACAGATGTATACTATGTAAAGAAAATAAAAGAAAGCCAGTTGCTGTAAACTGGATTTCGACTCACGGCAACACCACATGTGTCAGAGAACTACACTCCATAGGGTTTTCATTGGCTAATTTTACAGAAGTAGATCACCAGGCCTTTCTTCTGAGGCACCTCTGGGTGGACACAAATCTCCAATCTTTCAGTTAGTAGCCAAACAAGTTAACCATTTGCACCACCTGGGGACTCCCTGTATTCAATACCAGTTGCTTATAAGCAAAAGAAAAAGAGATAGCTGGGGCCCAAATGTGAAGAGCCATATCACCCTAGGTCAGATGAGGCACAGAACTCCATGCTGCTGACCTCTAGTCCTGTATTATTTTCATTACACAGCAGTACCTTTTCTTTCAATGCTGTCTTAATTAGACCGTTATTAACACAACTTGCAGGTACTGCTACACTAGGCAGGAAGGTCAGAAGCGCACATCCCAATCAGCTTATCCAGTGACCCCATTAGAACTTGGGATAGAGCCACTACCCTCCTTGCCTAAGGTCACACGTTTCCAGGCAGAGTAAGGTCTGAAAGAATGCACATCTTTTCATTCCCAATACCACAAATTTTGGCTTCCTAGGAAAACAAAATTCTGTCTAAAGCCCCAAGCCCTCACGTAAATGTGTTCTCCTCACAGACACCAAAGCCTAATTTGGCTGCTGTTCCCTCATAGATTTTTCCACAGGAATTCCATGCTAGTGTTCTTGTTCTGAGCCCATAGTACCCTGTAAAGTCCTATCAATCTAAAACCACCATCTGTGAAATCAGCATGTTCCAAGTCCCCTTGAAAAATTTACCTTTCCTTCTCAACTGGTGGTGCTGGTACTGTTGCCGTGGAGTGGATACCGACTCCTGGTGACCCCATGTGTGTAGACTAGAACTGCACTCCACAGGGTTTTTCAACACAGAAGATTGCCAGGACTTATTTTGAAGGCACCTCTGGGTGAGTCTGAACTGCCACCCTTTCAGTTAGTAGTCCCGTACTTAACCATATGCACCAGTCAGGGACTCATTTCTAGTAAATACCTTAAAAAGCACCCAGTTTCATCTGAAGTTCACATTCAGATCATTAACACCAATGAGCGCTAACTCAGAAGGATATTATATACCCATTAACTCTATTATATTCTTCTTTAGAATTTGTTTCCATATAACTCTTTAATACCTAAAACTTCATGTATATGCTAACACAGATATTTGCCTCCAAACAATCTAGACTCTTATCAAATCATAAGGACTTTGAGAGTGAATTTTGCCATACAAATACTTTTACTTGTTGACATAATATCACACTATGCCTAATATATACTCTTTTCTGAAATCATTTGGTTTTCCTCTACTACTAACATACGCTCTTTCAACAGTATCCAACCCTTAAAATTACTTGAAGAAATCCAATATAAATGAACCTAATCAAAGCAAACTCAAAGGACTGCACCTTACCACCAAAGCAGCAAATCCCCAATGGCATTTGCTCCAAGAATTATTGCAGGAAAAAAAAAAAAAAAAGAACCTCTGAAAAAAGCACTATACTACAAATGTGCTAAATTTCAGAACATAAATCACACTAATATCATTTCCTAAGTATAAAAAACACATAACAGGCTACTAAAAACAATTAAGTGCCAAGTGAGCAGTAATTTCAAATAGCAAAATCGTCATCTCTTTATCGAACGCTAGTTATTCATGTGTGTTGACAACTGGCCTGCAGGAGGCATAAATAAATGGGAACAGAATTTACCTGAAAAAGGTCAGAGGAACTTACCATCATTTTGGCTCTTGCCCTTCATCTCTTCCTTCCACGGTGGGATGGTGTTCAGAGGAACATAGTCCCTCACATATTCTTTGCGTCTCTCCTCTAAGGTCATCTTCAGTAAACGTTCTTGCAAAATAAAAGCAGAATCTCCATTTGTATTTAACTTTTAAACTCAGGAATTATTTTGTACTTTAAATACTAACCATGTTAAACTAAGGAAAGAATTGGTATGGTCTTGAGGAACGACAAAATGCAAATCTAATGACTCCATATTTGAGTATTAAAAGAGGTATCAAATTAATTTCATATTAGCAGGGGGGAAAATGATCAAAGTCTGATGAGGAAGACCTCTTGTGATAGTCTGAGAAAAAAGTAAACTCAGCATATACTGATAGTCTTCCACCTGCCAGGTAATATATTTATACACTACAGATACAAAAGTGATCCATACTCTTGAGGAGTTCACAGAACAGAAGAAATGAGTAAGATACAAAATAATGCCTACATAAGTAAAATACGAAATGCTAAACAGGCATGTACAACAGCTAAAAGCACAAGAAAGGCAGCCTACCAAGATATTTCCTCAAATCTACAATGCCATCAACAATAAAAGTGCACTTTCAGCTTAATAATAGCTTCATGGAGGTGATAAACATCACTTTATCTATAAACCAAAAACTAAACCAGTGGCATTCAAGTCATTTCTCACTCACTGCAACCCCATGTGTACATCTTGATTATAAGATTAAACTATAAAAAAGAAATGCACCTTAGAATTAATGATAGTGGGTGTCATTTATGAAAAGTCCCTGGGTGGCAAAGCGTGCACTTGACTACTAACTAAAAGTTGGCAACTGGAACCCACCCAGCAGTGCTGCAGAAAAAAGTTCTGGCAATCTGCTTCTTTAAAGGGTACAGCCAAGAAAACCTTATAAAACAATTTTACTCTGTAACACATGGAGTTGTCATGAGTTGGAACTAACTTGACGACAATGGGTTTAGTTTTTGTTTTTGTTTTTTTTTTGTTTGATATTTACAAAGAACTTACTATGTGAGTACTTCACATGGATAATCTCATTAAAATAATCTTCCTAACACCTCAGTAAAATGGGTAGACTTATTATCCCTATTCTGCAGATAGGGCAATGAAACACAGCAAAGTTAGTAATTTGCCCAAAGCTTAAAAATGGCAAGCCAGGATTAAAATTCAGATAGATATGTCCATTAGTCAGAGACCGTAGCCTACATTATTACCACTACACTACACTAACTTCTCACAAAAAGCTCCCTAAAAGAGGTGATATGTATGCTGGTTCATGAAGAATAGGTAGAATTTTGCCATGAAGGGGTGAGAAGTAAGGACATTTCAGACTAAACAGATAATAGAAATAAAGGTAAGGAAATATGAATAGTTTAATGGAGCTGCAAGATATGTTATGAGAAGGGTAGTGGACAGAGAGGTGAAATGTAACTAGAAACAGAAGTTAAAATGAAACTATACAGGGACGTGTATACAGGGAGTTTAACCTTTAGCCTATAAAGTAGACCACTAATAATCAAAGCTGAGTATGCATATCTCAAAGGGTATATAAAATGATCCACTAGGATACATGGAAAAAAAACCTAAGAAATTCTATTTATATTTATTTTTAATCTAAATAAATAAGAAAAAATTAAGTTAGTAATATTCAATATGTACATTGACACTGGCTTCCTCACTCAGTCTGTATGTCAGCTCTCATGTATCATATGCTTTACCTGAAATCCCCACAATGTGGAGAGACTGACAGTTGGACTCTCACTGTCTAGAATTCTTTTAGCATATTGCAAGGTATCGTAGTTTGGGTGAATGGATTTAAGGATAATATCTAGTTTTAGGTTATCTAACCCTCACAAAACAGTCATTTAAAAGATTCTTGCACAGAAATAAATTGCAAAAAGTACTAATACTATAAGCACAAGTGATCAAGAAATGAAAAGCCAACATTTCTCCTGCTCCTAGGACTAATTTTTCTCCAGCCACATTGAGACAACAAAATACGATACTGTGTTGTGACATATTCATGTCACATTACTCAAGGGTCAACACTGTATTACTGGGTTTAAGGTGTCTATGGCACATTCAGTGGACATTGGTGGTTCAGTGGCAGAATTCTCGCCTTCCACGTAGGAGACCCAAGTTCGATTCCCGGCCAGTGCACCTCAAGTACAGCCACCATCCATCTGTCAATGGAGGCTCACATGTTGTTGATGCTGAACAGGTTTCAGCAGAACTTCCAGAGTAAGACAGACTAGGAAAAAAGGCCTGGTGATCTACTTCCAAAAATTAGCCAACAAAAACACTATGGATCACAACAGTCCAATCTGCAGGACCAAGCAACATTTTGTTCCATTGTGCACAGGGTCACCATGAGTCAGGGGCTGACTTGATGGCAGCTAACAACAACAACATGGGACATTCCAGCAGTTGATATCAAGAATCTGAGCTCAGCAGAGGGGTCTAATTAGAAACATAAATTTTGAGCCAATCACAAAAGGACAAATATTATATGACCTCACATAAAAGGACAAGAAAAGGCAAATGTATAGAGATCAAAGTTTATTAGTAGTTACCAGGGGTGAGAGGGAGGGGAAAAGAGGGGTTAACAGTGATGGAAAAATCACATTGATTAAGAGTAGGGTTGCACAGCCGATTATTGCAATTGCTCTCAATAAGTTGTACATCTGTAAAAAGTTGAATTGGCAAAAGTCGTGTGATATATTTACAACAATGACAAGAAAAAAAGAGTAACTACTGAGGCTGCTTACATACAACCGAACACCTCATGGGATTCTATTCCTTGGTTTGGAGGTTTACGGTCATGGTTTCATGGGACAGCCCAGTTAATTGACCTAGTAATATGTTTAGTACTTCTTTTCTACCTCCTAGTTTACTGCACAGTGCCTGGGGTCTTAAAAGCTTGCAAGCAGCCATCCAAGGCTCAACAATTGATCTCTGTTCACCTAGAGTAGCAGAGGAAGGAGAGTTAGGGAATAGGAGGGGGAAACGGAATGTGTGGCTAATTGCCTCCAGGAAAAACTGCCTCCTTTGCCATGAGATCAAAAGAACTGGATGGTGCCCCACTACCATTACTGAACATTTTGATCAAAGATTCTGCAGAAGAATCCTGATCAAAAGAAGGAAAACACAGAACAGAATTTCAACTTCTCATGGGCTCTAGACTTTCTGGAGCCATGGAGGGTAAACGAACCCCTGAAACCAGTGCCCTGAGATAATCTTTAAACCTTAAACCAAAAATATTCCCTGAAGTCATCTTAAAACTGAACCATAGTTTAGCTTAACTAGTAAAAAAGGTCTGCCTTGAGCATTATGCTCTTTTAAGAACTATCTATATGGGATCAAATGACAACAGTAACTTGAAAGATTAGATAGGAACCTTAGGGGGCAGTGAGTTTATGTTAATGAGGGAGGAACAACTCAGGAAAGGAGGGTGAGAATGGTTGCAAAACTGGAAGAATATAATCAATGTCACTAAATTGTACATGGAGAAACTGTTGAATTGGCATGTATTTTGCTGGGTATATTCTCAACAAAAACAACAAACTAAAATTTAGAAAAAAGAAAAAAAACATTCATTCTGGAAGTTATCACTTAAACTTCTGGTCTTAGACGACATTCATAGAAGAGGGAAGGGAGGAAAGGGACCAAACCTTGAAAGAACAACATTTAGGGAGTGGGCACAAACAGGGGAACAATAAACTAAAACTTAGATGTCACCGAGGGTACAAGTTGAATCAAGGACCCAGTGATTTGAAAACCAGCAGAGAAAAGAGTTTTAATAAGCAGAAAGTGGGAAATAATTGTCAACTGTTACAGAAAGGTCGAGAAAAATAAACATTAGTAAGTCCTTAGTTTGATCAACTGCATCACCAGTAGCACTGCAAAGAGAGTAATGGTTTAAAGAGCTGTCTAAATTCTAATCCTAAATCATTATACAAATCCGAATTTGGGTCAGTTACTTAACCTCTTTATGTCTCAGTTTCCTTTTGAGGTAGGCAGTATTCCCAATTTACACATGAGGCAACTAAGACAGAGACATCAAATAACTTACCTAAGGTCCTACATCTAGTAACTACTACAGCTAGGATTCAAATTCAGACAAGCGGTGTTCAAATCTCTCGACTCACACTATACTACCTCATAAGGTTGTTAGAGAATTAAATAAAATAAACCATGTACAGTACTTAGAATAGTGCTGAGCACACAAATAGGACTCAAGGAGTAATTATTTTTGTATTAATACCATCATCGCCATTATTACTGAATGACTTTAGAACGTCAGTTTCATTAAAATATAACTGGATTGCAGGAGACTAAGAGGGACTGAGGAAAGGAATGAAAGTGTGAATAGTAAATCCAAGGTGAAACCACACAGGAAAAAAAGCTACCTTAGGGTAGAAGAGACTTGAACATTGCTATAGGCTGAGGAGAGGTACCTGAAGACACCAAGAAATTAAACATATCAGAGAGGAAATAAATGATGGCACAAGATATCAAATAATACAGAAGATAGAATAAAGAGCACAAGCAGAGCCGTTAGTTTTAGAAAGGGAGAAAAGTGCTTCCTCTAATATAGGAACAAAGCAGAAAGGACATGTAAAGAAATATATGGAGGGGGATGTTAAGGGTATTCGTGTTATATGACATATTATTTTTCTGTGAATTAAAAGGCAATGTCAACTCAACAACAGAAAGACAATCAACCCAATTTAAAAAATGGACAAAGGACTTCAATATACTTTTATCCAGAGAAGATATACAAATGGCCAATAAACACATAAAAAGATGTTCGATATCATTAGCCATTGTCTTGTTAGCTGCCGTCTAGACGCCCTCAACTAATGGCAATCCCATGCACAACAGGAAAAAACGCTGCCGGTCCTGTGCCATCCCCATGATTGGTTGTGGATCAAACTGTTGTAATCTACAGGCTTTTCATTGTCAGGTTTTCAGAAGTAGATTACCAAGCCTTTTATTCGTAGTCCGTCTTGGTCTGGAAGTGCCACTGAAACCCACTTCACTGACAGATGGGTGGTGGCTGTGCTTGAGGTACACTGGCCAGAAA